AAAGATACAACGATCCAATGCAATTTATTACAACTTTAAACGATCTATCACGTCCGTATAAATAATATTCACATTGCATTATGCATACAACATGGTGTAGCTACGTTCGAAATTGTAAGCGTTCGTAACATCTCAAGATTTACAAGTAATAAAACATAAACAAACAGACTCATGAATATTGTATGGAAACAAAAATTAGCGAAATATGAATAATATGTTTTCCTGACAAGAAATAGATTCAAACTCTTCTTTTGCAGTACCTGCTCTACATACATATGGAATGTATACTTACACGCTACCAATATGCTAAGTGATTTTGCATCTTAAAAATAATGTGCTGTTGTTGAACGTATATGAAATTAGTGTTTGTTTGAAGATTAATTTCCGGAATGCGAATTGGCAGGAACGAAATTAATTTCTAACCAATTACAGGTCCTTGACTTGACCAAAAATGATTCGAAGAACACCAACGACCTTGTAATGGATGAGCAGTAAAAAATTATTACATTATTAATATTGCTTCAAACGACAAGAGATGAAATGAATATATAATTATGGGAGTCAGCTTTTTAATCAATTTCTTGATAATTATAATAGTAAATACTAAATTGAAACAGCTGCCTGTATAGTGTAGTTAAATTACCAAACCAAAACAATTTCTTTTTGTGTTATGTTTATGTAGAAATCGTTTACAATACTTTCCGGATCTACTTAAAATTAAGTTTAATGTAATTGTTAGGGATGCTGTAATGAAGCTCACTCAGACCCAGGCAGTTTAATGGGGGCGGCTATTTACAAATTAATTTTGTGTGGGCCATAGAGCGCTGGATAGAGTCAATTTCGATTGCAAAAAAACCTAAATTAATTCGCAATCGATAAAAATTAGTAAAGTGGTAGTAATCAAACATACTTCGCATTTAACTATTTAGCAACAAACGTACATAAATACCTTAAACATCCAACAAAATATAAGATAAGTCAAAATATATGAGAAAACAGTAACAGTGTAATTGATTATCAAAAGGTATTTCCTATCCTGTCGATCATCGCATTACCCCTGAACTGTAGCACCCCACAGGTCACATCTCTAACTATTTGTGAATAGTAATCTAATCTTAGTCTTGCTCTACCCCGTTTTTCTATTCCAAAGTACTTTTCTACTCTTTTTCATATCTCCTTATGTTTAACCTATTCCATCCACCATCATTTTTATCATCCGCCTATAACACCATATTTTAAACGCCTGACTTTATCTGACTTCCTATATTAGATATCGGCAACTTCTAGTTCATTATCTCTAGTTTTTATATTAAATCTAACCATACCTCCAGCTTTTAAAGTTCGTTTATTTAGTGGGAATTGTCCTTTCTTCACCTAATTTTTCTCACCTAATTACTGCTTTTCCCTTTTGCATAATTATGAAACTCAGAACAACTCATATTGTACGTAATTATAAATGCACTGAAATATCCTTTCAATTGTCTTAATTTTTCTTCTTCCTACTGTGAGGATATTAAAGAGAATCCGTAAACCGGAACATGTAGTATTTTGTTTGGCATCAACGCAGGCAAGCTCTGTAAACCAGAGCAAGTTTCCTCAGTGCCTATGGTACAGTTTATAGTTTGTGCTATCAAAAAATTTATTTGAGGGGTACCAAAATATATTTTATACATTTCTGGAAATTAATCTTTCATTCAGGAATTCTTCAAAACTATCTCTTAATTTATTTATACAAACCTTTATGAGCTATTTATTTAAGATTCATCATCATCATAAGATCGGCAGTCCTAAGACTAGTTGGACACGCACTTCCACTCTTTCCTATCCTGAGCTAAACTTCGCATTTCCCTAAAACTAGAACAGCCCACATCCTTAACTATTTGCGAACAGTAATCTAATCTAGGTCTACCTCTACCCCTCCTAACTCCTGTTTCTGCCTCTAATATGTCTCTGACTAGACCTTCATGCCTGAAAAGGTGTCCTACCAACCTATCTCGCCTATTTCTTATTGACTTCCATAGAGTCCTCTGTTCTCCTATTCTTTCTACTACCTCTTCATTTCTAACCTTCTTTATCCACGGTATCCTAAAAATTCGCCTGTAACGTACCCGTACAGCACCGCGCTCCAAACATACCCCTTTAACAATCTTTTTCGAATTTCTAAATTAACAGTTCGCGAGTATAGGAGTGACTTTCTTTTTACTGAAGGCTACTCGACCCCGCCCTATCCTCTACTTTATATCCCTATTACTCCTTCCATCTTGACTTTTATTTAAGATTATGAACTTAATTTCGAATGTAAGTATGTAGGTACCTAACCAGTTATTTTGTTGCCATCCAAGAGATTACTTAATTTATTGGCTACTCCGAAGAACAGGTTCTGCAAAGCGCCTAGCCGTATCTAAGCATGCCGGATTTTGCAGATAGTCTGTGACATTTATATTATGTAGTTAAGTGTCCATGGCAATAATATCGGTCGTTTATCACATTTTGTCCGCACGGTCGATTCTTTTTCCCAAATTCGTGAATAATGGACTGAGGTCGGGCCACAACGCCGTGCCAGTCGCCAGCGTTTGCGGTTCGGCTTCTTGACAAAAAAACATTAAAACAAAATTTACTACAGTTTTTTTCTTGTGAAATGGACATTTCATCCTCTCCTGACTTCTTCAGTTCTTGACATCTGAAATTTCGGCCTTCCCATCGAAGTATACTATGCCAGTTTGCACACGTATGCATTATGTCTGTTGTAGACTATTCCTAAGTATCAGTTAAACGTCTACTACTAGCTACGTTTCTTGTCTACCTGGAATTGTCACCGGCAACTGTAAGCCGCGTGTTTGGTCTGTCAAACATCTTGTAGGATCCGTCCTAAACGGCTGTTGTAACATGTTTCCACGATACCGCGTAATAGTCAACCACTACAAAATTCTTTTCTGGGACATGCTCTTCAATCAACGTATAACACCCGCTAATCTTTTTGAACAACGTTGTCTATGCAAGGACAAGAAAACTACAGTTGAAGTATGGTGCTGTACATTAAAAATATCATTGAGTAGTATATGTTTCTAGAAATCTGTGAATGATTGACTCACCAAAGTAAAACCTCAAACTACTGTAGATGCCGGGGAGGTACTGTGGACACCCTCAAGCTTTGGTGCCAAGTGTCCGAGTTGACATTTTCATGCCTGAATTGTCATATCGACTTACTCTTCCTTGCGATGTTTATTGCGAATGACTAAAAAAGTCTTATTTTATGTAATAATTACAGCTAATCTTTAGAATAGGGTTAAGTCGGAGTTGTTAACAAAACTCATCAGCGAATTCATGAAGCTCACTACGCCCCAGGTAGATGAAATAGATGTGCGTGAACGGCTTATCGATTCGCCGACTAGCCGCGGACGCTTTTCTTCATGTGCGCCGTATTTGTAAATGTGTATGTCGTTTTTGCGTTCTGGGAAAGCAGTTAAACAGTTCAAAACAAAAACAAACTATTCCGATGTTTCCAGAAGGTTCCCGAAAGTAAACAAAAGAATATTTAAAAGAAGAGACGATCGCCGAGAGGAGATACAATAAATTAACCGTTGCAGAAGTGAATCCAGAAATAAATTGACAGTGATAGAACTGAAATAAATAGCGCAGTGAATAGTGATATATCAACAGTAGTGTAAATAATAAGAATAATTCATAACCTAAGTTTAGTAATAATTTAGTAGTGTTTTTAAGTTCTTTAACAATTAGTGTAAATAAATATTTTTGTCGTTATCAGTCTTAGTAGTTAATTTTGTTAAACCCACGAACATTAGTATCTCTTATAAAGAGCAAAAATATAATTATATTGATGATGATGATGACACGCCAGTCATTAATTAATACAAAAGATAGCAAGCTTAAACAATATTTATTTCGTAGAGAATAGTTTCAATAACGCATTTTCGAGAAGTGGGTAATATTAACGACAGGCACAGTAATATTCAAGTTGCTTTCATCGAGGCGTTCGGTCGAAGAAACAGATCAATCTTTTTGCAGGGGGAAGGACGGACGTGTTGCACTTGGTACGGTCATTAATTTTTTCGAAAGTCGAAGGTTACGATTGGGTTCGCATATATTCACGGCACATTGTCGGTATGACAAATCGAAAAATTATTGCACAATGAATGGCGAACAATAAGGCACTGTGGGAAGATCCGTTGGCCTTTTTGACGTCGACATAAAGAATAAAGAATTATAGTGGATGGATGACCAAGAAGAGGTACAACCTTACGGGGAGGATATGGCTATTCTTGTTGTTGTTATTATTATTATCGTATATGATGCGACGACGTTAAGAAACATATCGACACCAGTCAAGGCTGTTGACATGGAATTGCAATCAAACTGTTTTTTTTTTACCTTTGGAAAAAGACAAACCCGCGTATTTATCGATCCCTACCAATCCCGTGTAGAGTTGCATGCTGTTTTTAATTAAACCTGATGAATGAACAATGTCCGAATACGAATGGCAAATAAAAATGAATAATTAATAGATATTATACGGGGTTAATTTAAATTAATTGCATATATCTTCACATTATGACGAATGAATATTCTATACTGATATACATAATATAAAACGGTAAAAATGGCATAAGGGGGAGCTGACTTCTTTTTAATAAAATTTTAAACAAGACCATGTGTTCATTTTAATTTTTTACAAAATAAATCAGTTTCTGGGCAGACCTGGGGCCCCCCTTTGGATCTACCTCCCCGTGCTGTAAATATGTATACCGAACACAAATTTTCAGGAAAGTGATACCCGTCTGGGTCACAAAAAATGAAATGGTAAAAATAACCCTTAATAATGAATAGTATCTAATAAAAGTAATTTGTCGAAATAAGTGTGAAACTACATATACAAAAATATTTCACGATTAACTGTTTCCATTAATGTTAAAATTAATTTAAGAATATCAAAAGATTTTCATATTTTCTATCACCCCTAATTCATCATTTTCTGTTTTCAGGTGAGAAGCCGTTCAAGTGCGAATACGAGGGTTGCGACCGACGTTTCGCCAACTCCTCAGACCGGAAGAAGCACTCGCACGTTCACACGTCCGACAAACCATACAACTGTCGCGTGTCCGGCTGCGACAAGTCGTACACGCATCCTTCGTCCCTCAGGAAACACATGAAGGTGCATGGCTGCTCGGGTCGATCGCCGCCCCACTACGACAGCGACGGCGAGGAATCCAACTCGTCATCTGCGGGAAGCATCTCCGTCGCGGCTAGTCCCCAAATATCCCAGGTGACCGTAAGCGGTTCGCTGAGTGACTGGTACGTATGCCAGTCGACGCCCACGCCGCCCGATCCCCTGGGCGGCCTGGGACACTTTGGACACGTGCACGGCGGCGCTGCAACCGCGTATTGATATTGAATGTTCTCGTTTTATGTGTAACTTAATTTAATTGTGTAGTTTAATGACGACGAATGAAAAATGCGAACAACGTTTACCACGTGCAATTTGCGCTGTTGCAGTGCTATTTTTATTTTATTGTTTTTCCAATGTGACGCACACCAAATCAATTTCTTGAAAGACCAACGATAATAAAACGCACCCCAAATAACAAATTGTATGCTTTCTTCGAAAGAATATATTTTTTTTATCAGAAAAAGTAATATTATGATAAAAATGCTTTGTATTATTTATATTACAGTTTGCGCTATTCATTTACCTAACTATAATCTTCATCAGTTTCTGAACACCAAAAAAGTTAGTGAAACGCTTAATGCAGTTTTTAATTGCGTTATGGACTTTTAACTGATGATTGTCGGTATACTGCAAAGTTACATTTTAGAAGAACTAATTTCATTAGATTTTTCATAATACGGCATTAAAAAGAACATGATTTTTGGTTGATGCACTTCTTTAAACATTTCTTGATATTTTAAAAAACAATTTTAAAAGAAAAGAAAATAATAAAGTAGTTAAAAAAAGAGAATAGTACGATGCACCCGTCGACTGTTCCGTGCGGGTCTGAAAAGGTAAAAGTTCACCATCTAGATCATCCTCCTCGAGAGACGTGAAGGATGACGATGAAGGATGTTAGAGACCGAGAGCGAGAAGAGCGCGTCCGTGCACACGTCACGGTCCTTGCACGAGCGTGCATTATTTATGACAAATAAGTTATGGTTGTTGGTTTTATTATTAAAAACGGGTCGGTGTAGGTCTCTGCTCATTAATAATTTCTCGCGGCCAGCAGAGAGCTCGAAAAAGAAACGCCATTGTCAATGCGCTCAAAATATTAAAATACGAAACTGGTACTCGTTTTTCCTTGTCAGACATCATGCTCGTATGTACAAAATATTATAGAAGGTAAAAAAAACAGTCTGAGGGCATCGTACTGCTCCTTTATCGATTATTTCTAAAGAGAAAAGGCCAATTTCCATTTACATCAAATTATTTATCAAGACTCTTGTCACAAATTGTCTCCACTTTTTAATTCTCGTAATAATACAAAGCATTTTGTTATCTTAACATTCTATGTCATGTATGTTTGTTACCCAAACATTTGTTGAAAATTATTCAGGTCCACTGTGAATTTGTACATCCCTCAAAAAGGACTCCTTAGTTCAAAACGATTTCATTAATGTTTTGTAACTAAGCTTGTCATTTACACGCTTTTAGTTGTTATCTTAAGTATATTATCATCCGTAATACGTTGTGTGATATTACATTACTTCTCTAATTAAAAGAGAAGATTCTGTAAATAAAGATTTGACTTGTATAGAGATATGTATGTATAAAAAAATGTACTGACGTGTATTATATGTTTTCACGAACGTTATAAAATATATTTATCAAATTAAAATGTAGTTTTAATTGACGTGTCAATTAATAAACAGTCATGCCATCCAAGTGCAAAAGTCATACTGAAAAGTAGTACAATAATTCGAATTCGACTGGATATATTTTGTTGATACTGATTTTATCTGAAATCAAAATTGAAAATGTTTTTTTGACATCAGTAACCACTAAATCAGGTTGAAATTATAACAAGATTTAAAAGGCTGAAAAAAAGTGCATCTATTATGGGCTATGGCCAATTAACTAAGCACATTAGATACATACATTTTTAATGTTAATTATTTTTCTAAAACTGTTTCAAACTATGCAAAGGAGTAAAGGGGAAAGAGGCATTGAGGTAATTTACATCTAAATTAAATGTTATAGTCTGATTATCTTCGTAGTAATTACCACTTTTAATTTTAAATTTTCTCAGTTACGTAATTTACAATTAAAATTAATTGAATGAAACTATAGCTAATGAAGAAAGTAGTATATAAGTGAACATCATCATCATCATAAGGTCGTCAGTCCTAAGACTGGTTGGACACGCACTTTCACTCCTTCCTATCCAAAGGTAATCTTTGCTTTTCTCTAAAACTAGAACATCCCACATCCCTAACTATTTGCCAGCAGTAATCTAATCTGGGTCTACCTCTACTCCTCCTAACTCCTGTTTCTTCCTCTAATATGTCTCTGACTAGACCTTCATGCCTGAGAAGGTGCCCTATCTCGCCTATATTTAATTGACTTCCATAGTGTCCTCTGTTCTCCTATTCCTTCTAGCTCTTCATTTCTAACCTTCTCTATCCACGGTATCCTCATAATTCGCCTGTAACACCACATTTCGAAAGCTTCTCCCACCGTCCATGTTTCGCACCCGTATAGCGCCACGCTCCAAACATACCCCTTTAACAATCTTTTCCGAATTTTTTAATTTTTATCCTCTGCTTTATATCCCTACTACTCCTTCCGTCCTGACTCCCTAGATACTTAAAATCAGTCACTTCTTCTAATCTCTCGTTTCTTATCTTTATATTCGTTCTTTCCCTACTATTTCTTCCCTTACATACCAGTATTTTTGTTTTACTTTTATTTATTTTCTTACAACACTGTTTTGTCAATACCGCTTCCATTGCATTTAAAGCTATCTCTAATTCCTCCTTGCTAGATGCTAATACAGCTATATCATCTGTAAGTATATGCATATAAAATAGTCAGAATTTTTAAATTATTTCAAAGACGTAATTTAAAAATGTACCATAAGTAGATACAAAGGGTGACCGTATTTACGCCTTGTTACTAGTGGGCTGTCTTCCTGCTTATAGGCATAACCCCCGTTATTATTATCCGAACATCTAGTACCCGGCCTTCCAGCTCTCCTACTACCGATGATATGAACTTGTCAAGCTGAACCCACGGCGTTATCACGTAAATTTAACTGATACTTCCTGTTCATTTCAACTGATAATCCTACTCCCTTTTCTTTTATATTGTAACTATTTTTTTTTACAAATAGACAAAACAATATATATTTCGATTTAGAAAATTCTTTACGTAATGTGTGTTACGTCCAATAAATAAGTAAAATTAAAGAAGCAGTCGATCTCTTACATCATTATTCTCGGAAATATTAATGTTTATATAGTGCCAGCTCAACGAATCCTGTCTTTCAAAGTATGTACTTTGACAAATTTTATTTATATTTTCCAAGAAGGAAAAGTCTGTACTTGATGTTGATAAAAGTAATACACGCGTTGGAAACATAACGGTTGTAAAGATAAGTATTTGAAAAATGTAAATTAACATTTTTACGTAAGGACATTTTATTTTTGTAAGTTGCTTCTTTTAAAAATTTAAGCATCGTGACTAAAGGCAGCTAGACATTTCGTTAACAATAAAAATAGAGCGTACTGATTATGTAAATTCCAGTTTATAGAATTTACATAATCAGTACTAATTAAATTATATGAATTGTAAACATGAATAATTTTATTTAAATATATGTATGTTTATTTTAGTAGAAATACATATAAATACAAGATCTAATTAAAATGAAGGGTAAATATAAAAACTCCACATCGTTAAATATCGCAACCTACAATTCACTCACAAAATAATTAAACTCCTACTTGTTTAAGCATGTAGCATTGTAATATAGATAGTTATGAAATTTTATACGAAATAAAAATCTCCAAGTGTAATATTTCCTTGGACAAAATAATGAAGAAGAATGATCAAAAGCAATGAAACACAAAAAAAAGGGATGTGTGCAACTCAGTACAATATTAATACATCAATTAGCAATCGTACTAATAGTTAGACATAAGATTCATTGCCGATCAATTAATCACTAGAAGCGCGTCACAAGAGAATCATTTTTCCTAATAGTTACTAGTTATCTGCCATCTTCTACGTTTTCTCGTATAAAATAACGTAGGCCAATATAATAACTTATTTAATTATTTGTCAGTTATCATTAAACAGTTAATACCTATATAATTCGCTTCTTCATCACAGTGTACTCAACAGAGAATGCCAAAAAAAGTTTTACTTTAGAAATTGAACATCATCATCAACATCATTGAAGGTTACGGGTACATTAGCAAACTAAACTGTTTAGTCCCACATTTGTGCGCGCATATGAACTAAGTAAATTGTTATTTAAAAGAAAAATAATCTGCATCTCAGGCAAATTTAATCCTCATCATCATTATAAGGTCGTCAGTCCTAAGACTGGTTGGAGACGCATTTCCACTCTTTCCTATCCTGAGCTAATCGTCGGATTTCCCCAAAACTAGAAGGACCCACATCCTTCACTATTTGCGAACAGTAATCTAATCTAGGTATCCTACCAACCTATTTCGCCTATTTCTTATTGACTTCCAAAGAGTTCTCTGTTCTCCTATTATTTCTAATACCTCTTCTCTATCCACGGTATCCTCATTATTCGCCTGTTTTCTAAATTAACCGCGAGCAAGTGACTTCTTTTTATTGAAGACGACCCAACCCTACGCTATCCTGACGTATCTGACTTCCTAGATACCTAAAATCAGCCAGTTCTTCTCATATTTCATCTCCTATCTTTATATTCGCTCTTTCCCTACTTTTTATGTCCTTCATACCAGTATTTTAGTTTTACTTTTGTTTATTTTCATACAGTAATGTTTTGTCACTACCGCTTCCATTTTATTTAAAGTTATCTCTAACTCCTCCTTGCTAGATGCCTATAAAAAATATTGTTTTAAAATTACAAAAGTATAAACTAAACTGATCTGTCGTCATAGACCTTGCTGTCTTTTGCCTATGCTGTAGGTCTGACGATCAACTGTTTAGTTGGGTACAAATTGTGACAAGACTCAACTGAAAAGTTGGTGAACTTTTGTGTCGGTTAATGCGCGCGTATTCGTATTTATACCATTGATTTCACATGGCCGACAAAACAGTATCAGTGCGCGCATAGCCTAATACATTAACGAGGAATCTACGTGGGATTTCAAGGAGTTTACCCCATAGATTAAATGGCCTAAATTATGTATTATTTATTTATGATTTAATAAAGTTTACCCGTCTCGTTTCTTTTTACTATGACTGATTAATTAGTTGCGGTAAGTCACGCTATCGCAGACATTGTACATAAATATGTAGCGATATATGCGCTATACCTAATATGTTTTATGCATGTTTTCATAAAACGTTAAAAAATATATTTACCGAATTAATACGTTGTCCTTTTTAACAGCCGCATATTTCCCGCTAGATTTATAACGGCCCGAATCTGAATATTTATGAAGGAACTTGTTCCTTCTCGTTTTTGCCCGCGTCTCGTTCTGATCATTTTTTAAGTGTGCTCTGAGAACACGTCTTGTTATAAAGTTATAGCCAGGAATTTGTTATTAACCCGAGAAGAGAACGAAAGGTTACTTATATAAGATGAGAAAAAGAGTGAGGGAGGCGGTGGCGGCTGTAGTATGGTCCACCGCCGCCGTGCAGTCCCCCGACCAAAAACAAAAAAAAAAAAGAAAAGCATTCACATGATTTAATGGTACACGATACTCTTTAACTAATGTCGTGAGATATTATGTATACGCCAAGATGGATAAACTAAAATACCTACAAGACAAGTAAAATTTCTTTTATGCATGTATTAACGATGAAGTGGAAGTGTTATTAGTTGGGAACGAAAATTTATAACAACAAACCACACACAAAAACACAAAAAACCATTTATACTAGTGCATTCAACTTTATCTTTTGTGTTATAAACTGTGGGATATTGCAAATTTTATTTTTCATTCATTTAATTGCTTCCACATACTAACTAACTAAAAAATATGATCCTCTATTCCAACAATATTTTAAAACATTTTTATAGGAAATAAACTAAACTAATTTATTTTTTATTAAGTTCTACACATTGATCGCGATTTCAACTTTATCAGATCTCATCAGCGCGTCATATGCTATCACAAAGAAGTATCTGAAAACTGCTCCAAATAATACAGTATTATTATCAAGAGCAAAAAGTATAAAGTTTTTAATGCAGAAGTAATGGGTAGAGTGTTTAGTGCTTTCCGCTTGAAAACGTGCTTCAGGAGATATAAGAACCGAATTCAAGCCTAAGTTTTTCTCTCTTTTTTTTGTACTTAAAATATTTTTAATTTAAATTCATATTTGTAATTTTAAATGGTGTCTAAGTCTAACAGGACCAGGTTACATTTTACCTGGGTATTTACAGAATCCTTATAAACTGGAAATAAATGTTATATGGCGATTGTGCTCATATTTAATGATCCATATTCTGTGTTATATTTAATTTGTAGTTATTCACCCCCGCTAGAATAATATTCACCAATTTACCTGTTTGTAGATACAGTTGTATGGTAACAGTAGTAAACGCATTGAGATTTCATCTTTCAAACAAGTAAGTTTTGCATCCATTATCCATCCAAAATAGTTTCCATTGTCGGACGAATTTGATAG